TGGGTCAGGTCCCAAAGAATCTTTCATATGACACAAACAAGATTGCATGGGAACTGTTTTATTGCACATGTAATGATACCAGGAAAACAGTGGAGACTTCTTGGACAGAAATATTATAGGTACACTATATACTCTGGCAGACAAATATTACAGGAAGAAAAGAAGGTCTCATCCACTGACAAGATAATACTGACAACTTTCCAGGACTGACATGAAGCAATTCATTGAGTTTCTGCCCAATAAAAGCTCTATGGCCACTGCCACTTATGCAAAGACTATCACTTTGCATGCAGAAATAAGAAAGAAAAATTTTTGAAATGGAAGAAGTTATCCTCCTGCATGATAATGCATGACCCAATACAGCTAACATCATTCAGGAGAATCAATTCCTGATATTGGAAAAACATGAAACATCCTCTTATAGTCCTTGACCTCATCCCTCTGGAATACCAACTGTTTGGTTCTTAGAAAAACTTTTCAATGAACAGCAATTGCCAATGACAAAGATGACAGTGTAAGACACTTTCTATATGCAGCCATCAACTTTATGATAATGGGATCCAAAATTTTATTGAAAAATTGGACAAATACTTGAGCAATATGGAGAGATTATCTAGGACATTATATAGAGGATAGTCCAGCATATGCCCACATTTTAAATTGTTTCTGTACATTGTACTTTCAAAAAAATTATGCACAATGGCTTTTCAATCATGTCTAACAATTATTTACAGGACTTATACATACAGGTGCATACTAGATAGAATGAGAAGAAACAAATGACTAATGTTTCTTAAAATATGTGAAAAAACTTACGAGAGTAACTGTTAAATAAAAGAAAGCAAAAGAATTTATTTATCAATCAAATAAAACTTTAAAAAAAATAGTATATGATCTAATAAAAAAAAAAGTAATCCAAGCACCTGATAAGAATGATTACTAAAATAATTTTATATAAAAGATCTATTTTGAGAATTGTTGAATAAAGTTGATTTTGGAGAACATAATAAAACTAGCAAATTACAAAATAAAATCAGGAAGTTAAAATTTTAGGCAGAGAGTAAAAAAGAATCCTGTTGAAAAATTTCCTACAGATTCCTATTAAATCTAAATTTCTATTTAAAACCAATAAATCAGTTTATTAATAAGAAGAAGTTAATAGATATAATGATTAAACTATGCAAATCAAATTCAAGATTGAATATAAATTTCAATAAAGAAAAAGTGGCCATTTATCTCTACAGTATTAAACAATTTGACTTATAAAAAAAATTTAAATACAACTTACTCTTCAAAGTATTTATAATATAATGATAAAATTATATGAATGTAATAACTACAGTATTAAAATTCCTAACTTTTTTAAATTTGTCTATAATTAAATTGCTTTCTTCTATTACTATAAAGTCATTTCTTATTTATTTGCTAAAGAAACAAACATTATTAAAAAGGATATTGTAATGGAATTACATCAAAATATGTAATGTATTTTACTGCTACATAATATGATGCATATTATGAAATGACTGCTTAGGAAACTGTTTTATAGTCAATAGTCCAAATGTACAGTCAAAATATTCAGTCAGTTACAATAATCTGACTGATAAATGTAATTTTGTTATTACTGTAATTGCAAATTTCTTAACATAACTGAAAAACTAGTGTTAACATACTACTATATATATATAGTATCATTATGCATATATTAGTGGATTCTGACTAAGATCAAATTATTTCGAAATTTTATGGACGCAATTAGTAATTAACATCAAAATGAAAGTCTTTAAGACAATGTTTCACAAAAAAATACTTCATAGCATTTGCATTAAGCATCATATAAAAATAATGTATTATATTTTAGTTCAATTCAAATTAAATTTGCGCTAAGTTTCAATATACTTCAAATTATTGGTAAAAAAATTAATTTTCTCGTAATTTTTGTTTTAAAGTCGTGCCAATAAAAGTTTGCATACATGTCAACAGAAAATGAGTAAATTATTTTTGTTGATTTCAACTGGTTTGACCAATCCAGTAGAAAAGAATCCAATAGCATACTAAAATACAAAAAACTTAATAAAGTCTTGTTATATCCGTCTGGCATACTAATAAATACCTCTATTAGTTTATCTTGGTTTTAATAGGAAAATACACAAATCTATATTTCAAATGAAACATTCATGAAAGCAGAAAAACAGAGTATGCAAAGTTTATACATTTTAATCCAGAAAAAATGATAAAAAAAAATAAAGTCAGTGGTAAGAGCAGTTATAAAATATCATTATAAATATTTAAATCTGATATTCTCTAATGAAAACAAGGTTTTTCTTAAATTTTTTTTTCTTTCAAGGTTTTTAAGATTAACCTGCTTTAAAAATATTAATAGTAATAAGATAAATTATTATAAAATAGTATAAAAACATGTTTCTAAATTACCAAATATAAAAAAAAACTAATGAATGACAAACTTAAATTCCCAATCTATAACAAACAGTCCAAATATTCTACTAGTTATAGCTATTTCAACTTGGTAGTTGCATAAGATTTCAGATTGGTAATATTAATTAAAAGCGCACAGTTTCTAATCATCTCTTAAAAATTTTTGACAATAATATAAATTAAATTTTGTTAAATAGAGAAGACTTTTTTAGCAAACAAACCACCATATTTTTTTGCCTTATAAGATACACCATTGTATTGAACATGCCACATATTTTGGGGGAAAGAAAAAAAATCTTTACAGTATAACACACATTTGGCTTATAGGATGAATCCTAATTTTCGGATAAATTTTAGGTACAAAAAAGTCTCTCTTATAAGGCAGAAATATGGTATATTATCAAATTTTCAATGATAGAAAAAAAGCCAAACATTGGCTGACAGATTTAATAAGTTCAAATCAGTTACTTGACAATTTTTTTCCATTTTTAACAATTTGGCAAACCAATTTATATTGATAATAATGAATTTTTTTTATAAAAATCAAATTTGAAACAAGGGTTAAATCATTTTTAAATTCAATATATATTATATTATAAAACTGTCTTTTGTTTAATTATTTAANTAATAATAAAACAAGGAATGGCAGAAAATAAAATTCTATTTTCTAACAAAATTTCACTTAAGCACTTAAAATGAGATTCAAATATGCTTTTTTTAAAACAAAATTACAACTTTCTCTAAAGAAAAAACAAATCTAATAAATAATCAAGGTAGACAACATACATGCTATAAACATACTATATACAAATTATAAACAAATATTAGTGAAACAAATTCCTTCTCTCAGAAAATTAATATGAAATAAACATTTATATATATTTAAGAAATGTCTCTATAGGTCTTCCTCAGACAAGTAGCTTCAGAAATTAAATAGTATAATTTACCTTAATATTGTTAGTTTTTACAAAGAAATTTATTGATAATGAGTATATCTGTCTATAATAAAAGTCTCAAAATACACTCCTTATGCATAAATGAATATTTTTATCAATTCATTTAAAAAAAAATATGTATCTTTTTTTATGAATGTAATGTACTGTATAATATCCACTTTGATTATTTCCTACAATTGCTCAGCTTTCAAGCAAAATCCAAGACATAAATGTACTCATTTATTTTCTAAATAAGTGCATTTAAACTTTCATTGGTTCAATAAAAACAAATATTAGTCCAATGCTCCAATATTGGATTACTGCTTTATTGGACCAATAGAGCAATGTTCATTATAAATGCTTCAATAACAGATGTCTTACAACTCTATAATTGTTGTTATATATTTGTTTATTTTGACAGTAAGAGTAATGTCATAAGTGGCACTTTTATGTTGTTTTTTTTTTCAGTTTTTAATTAAAAAAAATGTCTAAGCTATCCTTTATTATTTACTATCCTCATGTGGCAAAACAATGCAAAAACTTTGGTTTATGTGGAATAATGTTGAATATCCTTTCAAGATGGCAGATAGCTGTAATGAAAAAAAAGCAAACATTGGAAATAAAAGAAAAAGAAATGTTTCTGAATAGAACAATAAAAGAAAACAGATTGAAAAAGCCGGAAAAGTCTGTATTTTCTAAAATGAATTCTATGGTCATCCAAAACACTGCCAAAACCAGTGGGCAGAAAAATATTATATAGCACATAAATATACAAAAAGCTTACACTATAAGTTTCCATGAAATAATGTTCATATTTATTATTATTGAATTTCATTTCTAATTTTATTAAAAACAACTATGAATATTATAATTATTCCAAAGAACAGTATAGACCCAGGGTGGCCAAGCTCCTTGATAGTCCGAGCCATTTTTCAAAATTGAAATTTTTCGTGAGCCGCAATTAGATATGTATTAAAAAGGTATGTAAAAATTCCAGATTACAAATTATATCCGTAGCAAGAGTGATACAAATTGTTTCCTCCAGAGCACAATGTCAACTGTCCATTGCAATGACAGTTTACAAATTCAAAGTTGGTCTGCAGTCGGTCAATAACGGACAATTACACCACTGTTTATGTTCGTTCGCACAGTTTTCGATGAGTCATATCATTCTTAACTTGAACGGAAATGAAATTTATTACAACGTTGCACTTAGTCTTTCATATTTGTTGTTAGTAATTTAAAAGACATTTTGAAACACATATGGAACGATAACAATTTTTTAAAATATAATAACACAAAAATGAAAAGGGAACTCGGGTACATTTATTGAGAGCCACAAATAATTCTTCAAAGAGCCGCATGTTGGCCACCCCTGGTATAGACGAAATTGGCATAGAAATATCATTATTATTTGAACATATCCAAGATGGAAAATATATTAAAGAATTGCAGAACACTATTCAGAAAGTAATTGCTACACACCTAATTGACATATAATTAGGGGTAGCAAAGTAAAGTTATGAGATTTACGCACCAGTACTTATCACCAAATATTTCATACAATTAAAAATAAACATTTATATTACATTTTATCATTTCAGATTCCACAAAGAATGCCAAATCAATATTCAGCAAAAGTATTCAATATTTTAGAAATGTTAAATAACCTTTTACATAGTACAGTTAAAATTATTCTATACTTTACAAAACTTACAGAATGAATGCCTGAAGTGGAAGAACGAGGTTTTGATGAAGCAACATATGCCAAATACTGTATAACTTTTTTTGTATTTTCAGTTTTTCCAGCACCAGATTCTCCTCTGTACAAACATTAATAAAACAAGTTCAAATTACTTGAAGTACTTAAAATTCCATAATATTTTTAAAAGCCACAACTTCAACTCAAAATTTATTATTAAAATTAATAAAAAAAAAAGTTAAAACTAATTTAATAAAACAACAACAGTAGAAATTAATAAATAAATAACACTTCCTTAAAAATAATAAATGCTTTCACTTACGTGCATAAGATTGATTGATCTTCCCTATCTGTAAAAAAAAACAATAGAATATGTAGTATTAATTTGATTTTTATTATTTAAAGAATTTTACATTATTCTCATCATAATTTAAATTATCATTTTAAAAACTCATTCTTTATACTGTATATATAAGCATATAACACTAGTATGCTGATTAAACATGTATGTATATAAGTTTAGTAGAATCATTCAAAATTTATTGTATATACTGTACTAGTTACATGTAAATAACTTAAGCATACAGAATTTACTTTTAATACATCTTAATTATAATAATTTATTATATTAACTTTTTTTTTTATAAAACTTGTTCAAATTTTGATGAAAATTCCAAATTGACAAATATGAATAAATTCACAATGAATTTTTTCTTGTAGACATTACTGGACATAAAATTTTATTCCTGCAACAGATAGATAGTTACATTCTCCATTTAACATCCTTTACAATTCTACAATTTGTCTGCTTGGGCAGTTGGAATTTAAAAGTTTTAGCCTCTGGATGTTGAGTGAACAGACTCAAAAGTACTCAAGGCTAAAGAAACTGGGATGAGAAAAAAATAACAAAGTAATCTTTTTTAAAGAATGATAGAGAGTTACTGCATTTTTATAACTGAAACTTTTGTTAAAATGAAAAAAAAACTTAGTTTATTAAAGTTTTTTTTATAAAAAAACAAGTTTTCTTATTTAATGATTATTATATTACAAGCAGCACAAAGTATATAATGGAAGTTTATCAGTGCAAAATATTCTAAAAATTGAAACTTAAATATTTACTAGAATTTCAGAATTTTGTTTACATATATTCGTAAGCAGAAGAACAGTTTTGTTTTCAAAACTATTCTTCTCTTCTGATATATTAAGCATTTAAGTATTCTGGAATAAGTCAAAATTTCAAATCTAGTAAAGAGATGGAACTTATATTTTTCTTTACTTGTAAATAGCATGTCTAATTTCATAAATTAATAAAATCTACATTATTGTTTCTAGTTTTCAGTTTTAATAACAAATTTATTTGTATATTTAACATCAAATATACAAATAAATTGTTGGAATAATTTTTAAATTAAATTTCCCAATTCACCAAATGAAACTTATATGAATTATCTGAAATTAATTTGTACTTGCTTAAAAATTCTCCTAGTCATGTAAATAAGCAAAATTTCTGAAATAAATATTAAACATAAAACTAATTGAGTACTAATCAAATGTTACAGCTGAATCCTTATCAGATGACTATGAGACTAATTAATTAATCATATATTAAGCAATCTGGAGTAGAGGTAGGCAGTTAATATACCATCTCATATTAAATAAATTAATTTATTTTTAGTTATTGAATTTAACATCTGATTAATTAATTAACTTCATAATAGCCCAATCAGAATCCAGCTGTAACATTTGACTAGTAATATTTATCAAATTGTTTGTAAATCTAATTGTTATTAAGTATTTTATGCAAGAACTAATAGCAATCTGAAAACTATATAAACGAACCAAACTAGAACTATGTTTAGATTAACTAAATGAAATTATATAATTATTAAAAACAACCATCAAATTCTACCTGTTTGTTTGTTTATATAGTCTATACATATTGGTGATTTACTTTATTACATAGGGTGGCAATTTATTATATTGATATAAGCAATCTAAAATATCAAATACTTCATTATTTATTTTTAAGTTATAGCTAAATGACAAAAATATACACACAATTGTAATATTAGATCATTATTGTCATTCAAAATAATTTGAACAATCCCGTTTAATTACCTCTTAAAACTTTTTCCTACATCAATTAATATGTCCCACTTTCTAAAAGAAATAATTCATTAATAATTAAACTATCTGACTTTCAATAAAATGTAGAACAAATTTAAATTTTATTAGAAAGTGAACAAGCATCTTTACAAACCAAGACATATATGTTAGATAATATATTTTCATTTCTCTTTTAATTTAATTCTCTCTTTTTTTTTCGTTGTTACTAAGCACATCAAATGAGATTGTTCTGATGTTTTTTATGTTGCAAAATATCTTTTTAAAATGTATTTTATTTATTATTGTACAGTAAAACCTGTCCAAAATGAAACCTGGATAAAACGGAAACCTGCCAAACCGGAAAATATTCGGTACCGTGCGATTCCGGTTTACGCAGGTTTTACAGTATAACTTTCGGCTTTAACGGTCAACCCCTCGCCCGAATTAGTTGGTTAAATCGAGGTTTTACTATAATATAATTAATTTTTCTTTATGCTACAGCAGAAAGAATCGACGTCACTCTTTCGTATAAGAGCAAATACAGTATAATAATTTTTGCTTTTTAGATTCGAATGTAGTTTAAATTCTTTTGCGGGAAAAGTTACGCAACTCGTTGATGGACTTTTAACTTTTAATAATGAAAATTTATTAACTTTATTAAGTATTTGTTAATATAAAATTGCAGTTTATTACAAATAGTATATGTGAGGCCGGGACAACACCGCCCTCCCGTACGGGAACCGCCTGTCGAGCTAAAGTCAATAAATCGGTGACTTATTACGTAAATAGGACCGGTGTGGCCAAGGAACGGGGTAGGAGACGATTTAATTGTCGCATTCCAGGCCTAATTGACAGATCCGCGATCGTCATTCGTGAGAACGAGAGAGGGATCGTCCGCCGGGGCAACTTTGGACAGTCATCTTACAGAGAGTTCAAAGCGGGACCTGCTGACACTCCCGTGGAGGTGGGCCACGGCTGGGACAGCTGCGTCTTCTCCGGGACAGAAAAATTAGGTAAAATTTACGGGTCCGTCATCCGGAAAAAGGCTTGACCGACTCCGGAGGGAAACGGCCCGGACGGGGATGTTCGGCAACTCCGCGGTCCGAATCGAGCCTCTGGCAACAAACCAAGGGATCAATAGAATCACAGGGGACCATCGTTCGGACCAACCAAAACCTCGGGATTTCGGGAGGAAAAAGGTTATAAAAGCCCGAAATCCCAAGGACACAGAGAGGGTGTGAGTGGAAGATCAGGAGCAAGTTAGTCTGTTCNAGAAAAATTAAATTATTACGGTATACTTTTTAATCCTAAGGATAAATAAAGTATGTTTTTTTTTTATTTATTTTTTCTATGAGATTACTTTGATTTGAAAATAAATTTAGTATTAGAATTTTATAGTTTGTACGTTTGTATTTTCAATGTATATATATATTCTATGTACATGTAGAAAAGTTTTTATAGTTTTTCTACTAATTCTTCTACATTATTTCCTATAGATTTATAGGAAATGTATTCCCTACAGAGTGTATTTAACGCAACTATATACATCATAGTAGTAGTAAATAAAAGTATTTGTATTTATTATGAAATTATTTTAATTAAATCAAACAAGCATTAGTTTACTTTTTATTGCATTTTAAAATAAATACATAAGCGCAAAAGCGTATTTTTTTTTTTCCTTTTTTTTGAGGTAGAAGCAATGATATCCTTATTAAAACATAAAAATTGAATTATTAACTGGTGGTGTTGTTGTGTGTTACGCAATTGGAATCACCCGGATGATGTCTACTACCTTCGAAAACGGCAATAAAAGTTCTTATATAAAGCTAGATCAATTTTCTTCCAGTTTACATAGTAGCTGCATAAAAATAGAATTTTTCGATAATTCTTTCCTATAATTAAATTAAAGATAAGAAGGAATTTCTTTTCTTTCGGTTGATTTTAAAGTAAAATCGAAATGGCGATTTTTTTTTTTTTTTTTTTTCCAATGGGCAGGTGTATTAACACATACGCATCCGACTCTAGAAGCGAATGCGTCATAAACCATTCGACCTTGGTCGAGATCACTGTAATCCCGTCATGCATCACGCTCCGTCCATGTGTACAACTGCCAGGTGTGACGTCAGTCGGCGGTATGACTCATCGCGGAAACTGTTGACGTCGCGAAGCAAGATTGAGACCGACTGATTTTCACTGCTTTCTTCTTTCTACCCCTACCACAAAGAGGTAAGTTTACTCTGGTCTTTTCTTGCCAAAATTTTTGTATTTTCGTCCAAACAGACTTTTGGCACCGCGTTAAATTGAAATATCAACAAATGGCCGGTTTGTTTATTTTATTATTTCTAAAAGAATATGGATCGATTATACATTTAAAAACTGAAAAAAAAAAAAATATATATATATATATATGTATTATTTTTTTAATAATTATAACTATAAATTGATTAACTTATTAGAATATAACATTTATATTCTAAGTTTTAACCTTATTAATGAAAAATAAATCTCTAAGAGGAAATCTATGACATCCTAAATACAAAACAAAATACTTTCTGCTTACATCACTATAGTTTCATAATAAAATATGTACAGTACTTAAATTCCTTTTAAAAAATGGACAAAACTATGATTAAAAAAAAAGCTTCAAATAAAGTTAAAATCATTTTTATTTCATAAATTTTTGAAATTAATATAGCTTATTAACTATTAATTTCAAAAATTATATAAAAGCAATTGCACACAGAAGATAAATAAATGTACAAATGGCTATTTTTAATGATACTTATTTAAACTGTTAAATATGTTAAGTTTAACAGGTAGAAGAAAGGGGGGAAACACAAATAATGTATAATTAACTTGATATAAAAATCAATTTAAAAAGATTAGTTAAATTTTTATAAATAGGCTAAGTAAGTTTTCGAAGAGAAATATTTTCTACATGTTACATTTTATAAATAGTTATAGATGATATATATTTACTGTAATCACTGAAGTAAGAAAAATTAGTAATGAAATCATTAATCTGGCAACTAAGTAACTAATTACCTACAATAAAATAAAACTGAAAATATTTTTTGATACAATAGCTTAAGAATAATGGAATTCTATATGCTTAATATCTATTCAAACTAAAGTGTAAAATTAAAAATTTCTAGTTAGCATGATTTTTAAAAGATTTAAAAAGATTTTAAAATCTTTTAAATCGCATGAATTTTAAGATCTTGACATTTATAATCCAAATAGT